CAAAGGCATCAATTCTTCGGCTCTCAGCCTTCTTTATGGTCCAGCTCTCTCAGCCATACGTTTATATAGAAATATAAAAGAGACAGCAGAAGAACGTTATGGAGGGAGGTAAAAATCAGAAGAAGTCTGGCAGCACCGTTTCCTACTCACAAACCCAAAAGCTTCTGTCTTTTAATAAAATTTGCTAGTCGGAAACGGTGCCACCATAGACTAACATGGCTCTCCTTCTACAATGGAGGGAGGTATGAGCAGAAAAGGCCGGGGCCAGTGGGGGAATAAAATCAGATTGTTTTCAATAGCATGTCCTCCCTGTACAGATGACCATGTTATCTCGATATTCTGATTTAGGAGACTAGAATATTCAAAGAGTATCTGATTGGGGATGGTAAAATGATCCAATGTTTCTTTTATTTCCCCAGACATCCCAAAACATAAAGAAAGCTTTAAAAAAATGCCTGGAGTTTTACCTGTTCAGTTTAATTTTATTGGCTTTTTTTCCTTTGTTTTATTCGGTTGAAATGTTGTCGACTCACAGCTGTATATAGAGTTATTCTATTGTTTTATGGATCGTGCCTTAAGTGTTTCAATACTGAAAAACTGCATAGATAGTTTTCTAAGTGAAGACTGTAATTCTGTGCACGCTTACCTGGAAAAAACGAACTAGGCTTACCTTGGGCTAGACATATTCGTATAAATACTTTTCCCCATGATTGCAATTTTTCCCCCTGCTATTTAGCTTTTGCAGGAGAAGAATTTCCTTTAAAAAAAATAAGATTCTTATTTATCCATGCTTTTTCAGAAAACCCAAATGGTTTTGTTTTTCATCTTCTGAGGGATCTGGTCGCATTTATGTCTTACACAAAATAACTATAATTTGAACATGTTTTGTTCAACCCCACCCATCTATTTATCTGAGACCAGTTCCTGTGTTGCTCAGCAGGCCTTGTTGTTCTGTACACTCCGAATATTGTATTGTAAAATAAAATGTTGGTTGCCCTAATAAATAATCCTGGCAGGTAGGATGGAAAACAACCCAGGAATATGGTTTTATATCAAGGAGAACAATTTAATTACAGTGTTCTAGTCCATATGAAAAGGAGGGGAGAGGGAAGATGAGTCATTCTTTCAATTAACTGAATGTTGTAAAAGAATAGGTGCAATCTATACATTATTTTATTTAATCTTTATTTTACCATTGGAGGGTGTGAAATAGCACGGTCAGCTCACAAGTTTATGAGCAACAAGAAGGCCTATCCCATTTTAAGTACGCATACTGTTTGCACCCTTGCCGAATGTGCACATCGTGCAAACAATGTGCGTTTCTGCACGCTGTTTTCACGCACATCTGCTTTTTGTACAGACATCTCCTTTGCAGTAATTAACCTTTCAGCTTGCATATTGTCTCTCAAAATTGTGATGTTTAGAATCTAAATTTAGCAAAATGTGTATTTGGAGGTCATTAAATTAATTCCTCTCCCTTCCCACATTGGCGATGGGGGGCATGGAGAAGACTCTTTGAGAAAGTGTAAAAAAAAATCGACCCAGTTCTCAGTGGATCTTTTGCTATGCCATTTAGGCAGTATTTGTGTTTATCAAACTGATTCCAAAGCTTTTGTAACATCTCTTCTCAAGCCAAGACAGTTAGTGCGTGCTGCATATTGATTCAGAGAAATAACTTTCTTCCAATGCAAAGTTATTTTTAAGTCATCTAAAAAGTGGTGATATGAAAGGGAGGGCTGTATTCTGCAAGCAACTTTCTGAAGATAGGCCACATTAGGATTCCCAGGACCAGTTCACCAAGAATTTACAGATTAAATGCAATCCCCAAATGCCGGCTGGGGAATTCTCCCCTGTTTTCCCAAGTTTTGAAATCTGGATGTATTTTTCTGTTCATCTCGATATTCATGGCGTTTCAAAGTCGGTGAAAACAGAGTTGACGGTTGCTGCTGTTAGCTTTCTTAGCGTTTCCTTTGCTGCAATTTTATGTTGCATTTAGGATTTATAATCCTGCTTTTTTGCTATTACTGTTTTGTTTTATGGGTCAAAGCCAAGACCCTTTACGACTGGGCAGCGTGTACAGTTACGAAGCAAATGAATGGACGATCGGATTGATGCGGGTGGGAAACTGCCTCCAGTATTTATGGGAATAGAGGGGAAAAGGCTTGACTTGATTCGCATGAAACCCAGGTGTCATTGCTCACAACTGCTGTGCAAATGAAGAAAGCAATTGCAGGCCCAACAGCTTTGCACTTCTCTTGACTTTCCCCAGCACCAGAAGACAAAAAAAAATTAAATACTTAGCAGCATAGGAGAGACAGATTCTGGACCGGCAAGCTGCATCCCAGACTGAAATAGTAATATATTTTTACATTTTATAATATATTACTATTCTGAAATAGTAATATATTCAGTAACTTCAAGGAGTTGAAAAATGAGGGGGAAAGAGGCACTTTGCAGGCTGGGTTTGTTTGCCCCACTCAGTCTGGACCCCAAGTCTTCAAGCAGAGGGAATGCTGGGAAGTGTAGTCCTGGCCCATTTTAAGGTGCCAGTTCACAGGCTGGCAAAGGCAGCCCTTTGCATGGACAAAAGGCATGGACAATTCTGTCGGGAACCTCACCTGAACTTTGGGCTGTAAACGGGAGCAAAGAGAAAAGGAAATGAAGCAAATGTATCTGTCCCTGTGGCCAAACTGGGCTTTGTTTCTGCTTGCCTTCGTTCCAAGTCGTGGCGGCAAGCGTGGCCTTACCGTTAGGTGGAGTAAAGGAAGGGCCACTGGCAGCAGATTCTGGGAAGCCCAGTAGAGGTGGGAGGAGAGAGCTGGGTGCGGTCGTGGGTTTATTTACAACATTTGTAAGCCACTTCACAGAGGGGGTCCACCGGTCAAAAAGGTCAAGAGGGCAGTCTCTATGGTGCAATCAAAACTCTGCCGGGGTTTGATGTGTGTCATGCACACGGAGCGTCAGTTGCACCGTTAGGGCAGCGCTCTTGACTTTTTTGACCATACCTCGTGGCCCCCTTGACTTCCCATTCACAAAATCCTGACCCTCTGCAGTGGGATCTGGGAGAATGACCTTGGGAGACAGGAGGGAGAGCCGCAGAGTAGGCAACGGTCAGATTTATTTGTTTGTTTGTTTATTTCTTTATTTATTAAATTTATCCCTGCCCATCTCTCCCTAATGGGGGACTCTGGGTGGCTTACAACTCATTAAAACGATAAATAAAAATACAGTTGCATAAAACCTAAAACCTATACAAAACAGATAAGAGGCAGCTGAGCCCACAGCAGGAATGGGACGTGGGAAGCATCTCAGAAGGGACCTCCCTAGTTTCTTGGACCGTAAAAGCGAGGGGAGGAAGATGTACTTTCAGACTTGCAAGATTCTGTTCATGTAACCTTACAGTGAAAGATAGAGCTAGTATTCCTGGGTGTGCTTCTTGTCTGGACTACCTCGCAGGGCTGGCACCTTTTCATCTCTTCCTCTGCCTTTCTCCTTGCAGGGAATCCCGCTGCCTACGTTTGGTGGACTCTTTCCTTACCCATACACTTACATGGCGGCTGCGGCTGCCGCGGCCTCTGCCATGCCGGTGACCAGTGCCACCACCGCCAGCTCGCTCTCCCGGAACCCCTTCCTGAGCAGTGCTCGACCTCGCCCGCGCTTCAACCCCTACCAGATCCCAGTTGCCATTCCTCCCAGCACCAGCCTCCTGACCACCAGGATGCCTGCCAGTCTGAACGCCAGCTCAGAAGGCTCCAAGCCTGGGAGCAGCCGGGAGTCCAGCCCTCTTTCAGATCTCCCCGTCCCGAAATCCAGCAACCAGCGGGCGTCTCTGTCCCCCAAAGCATCCTTGAAGGATTCCATGAATGAGCTCCAGAACATCCAGAGACTGGTCAGCGGTTTGGAAACCCAAAGGGAAGTCTCTCCCGGCAGGAGTTCTCCCAAGTCGACGGTTCACGGAAGCAGTCAACCTCCGAGAGCCTAGGAGTCACTGGGAAGCAGATGTGTACAGCACACAGTATAAATATTTATTTTTTAAGAAAAAGAGGAGAGGAAATTAACATGGGTCAGGGGATCACAAGCATCAGTAGCTCGGTGCCCTACTGAGATGCACAGGTAGAGCCAAGGGCCTAGGAGAGGAGGCTACACAGGTGGGCAGGCAAAGCATGCAGGAAGACAGTTGCTAACCCAGGTTTTCGAACTCCCGCTGTGATCTCGACAGCTCACCGATATCTCTGTGTTTTCTGGCCCTGGATCGAGCAGAATAGGTCAGTTTTAAACCAAACGCATCTCTAAAATGGCCCTCAAAGAGGAAAGTGATGTTCCAGGTCACTTCTAACTATTTTTGGAAAATCTCCTGGCACTTTTCTTCCTCGAAGAATTGAATTTTGAAACCCGGACAATGCCTCGGGACTTTGTCCTCCAGTGCTAGGATGATGGGGAAGAAGAGAGCTTTTTAAAAAGCTACAGTTGTTAGCAAATTGGGCAGGGGGCACCCAGTTTGGCTAGAGGAGGTCAGCAAAGTTTTCACAAGTGTTGTCCTTCAACTCACCAACTTTGGAAGGCCACCAAAAAAAAAAAAAAAAAAAGCAAAATAAACATGAACGTTCCTCCCCCCGCAACTTTCAGAGTTGGTACAATCCATGTGTGACTTTGGAACTTTCCCTTTTTGGACTTTCTCTCTGTGTATCAGAAAAAAAAATTAAAAAGGAAAAAAAAGAAAAAGAAACATAATATTTATGGAATAAAATGGTAATTTCTGTAAATAAGCTATACGAATTCCCCAAATATGCAAAAATTGGTATTAATTTATTTAGAGTTGTACATTGGAGTGTACATAATTAGAGTTTAACTCATGTTTGATTGTTTTCTTTTTTCATTTTATGTGAACATATATATTGTAAATGAAGACCTGTTTTCAGAGGTGCCGGGGGGGGTCAAAAACCAGGGAAGGTGTGGCTGGGGCTGTGCAATCAAAGCTCCGCCCAGTTTTACATGTGATATAAAAAGGGCGGGGCCTTGGTTGCACAGGTGCAGCAGCCATCTTGACTTTTTTGACCTCCTGCAGACTCCCCTGCTTGTTGAATTCTTTGTGAATGGAAGAAACGTTGTTCTGTGTCTGAAAGAAGGAAAAAGTTTACCCCGTCTGTCTGAAGACAATCGTACCACTGGCATTATTTTTAGATCCCACGAAAAGGACTAGAAAACGATCAAATCCTTCAAAAGGAACTCAACAGGGAAAATATTACTTTCTCATTATATATAGTTCAAAGAACAACAATGAATGAGTGAATGATTTTTTTTTTTAAAAAAAAACTTTTACAGTGCGGGGTATAAAAAAAAATCAGTGCAGGAACCAACCTCAGGTTTTTATTTTTCACTCCAGAGGGAAAATGAAATAATACCAGAAACCTTTAAAACTATATGAAAATTTAAAACATCACATGGACGGTGTGCTATATATTGTTTTTTTTTTTTTTTTAATGGCATAATTAGAAATGTGCTGGTTATTCGGGTATCTTATCGGTTCAGTTTTTGGGATGAGTCCTCTCACATCTTTCAATAAAAAAATATTCAAAGAATGTTCTTCCCCCTTGGTTCTTCTCTCTTCATTTCCCACTCCTGGGCCCTGGGAATGGATGGGGGGGGGGTATAATTTGACCCCTCCTGAGCCCCAAGGTGGGGACCTTTCAAATGGCAAAGCTTTGGGGAGGGGGTGACCTTGGTTCCTCAGCCCCACACTTTCCTCCTTGCTGTGATGGACAACTGAATCTCTCTGTCATTCCCGAAGCCAACCTCTCTTCCCTGTTGAGCTGAAACTCACCCAACTGGATTGTAGCTGTGGTGGAGGTAGGTAATTTCAGAGTCTGGATCTCAGAGCAAGCAGGGGAGGCCAGTTGGATGCTATAATTTTGTGATTGATTGATTGATTGATTGTGCCATCAAGTCATTGTCGGCTCCTCGCAACCACATGGATAGATCTTCTCCAGGAGGGTCTGTCCCCAACCTGGTCCTTCAGGTCTTCCAACGGTGCCCCCATTGCCACTGTAACTGAGTCCCTCCACCTGGCTGCTGGTCATCCTCTTCTTCTCTTTCCTTCCACCTTTCCCAGGATTATGGACTTCTCCAGAGAGCTGGGTCTTCTGGTTGATTGATGGATTAGTGCCATCATGGGTGTTGACTCTCAGCAATCAGCTAGATAGTTTTTTTCCAGGAGGATCTGTCCCCAACCTGGTCCTTCAGGTCTTCCAACGGTGCCCCCATTGCCACTGTAACTGAGTCCCTCCACCTGGCTGCTGGTCATCCTCTTCTTCTCTTTCCTTCCACCTTTCCCAGGATTATGGACTTCTCCAGAGAGCTGGGTCTTCTGGTTGATTGATGGATTAGTGCCATCATGGGTGTTGACTCTCAGCAACCAGCTAGATAGTTTTTTTCCAGGAGGATCTGTCCCCAACCTGGTCCTTCAGGTCTTCCAATGGTGCCCTCATCGCCACCGTAACTGAGTCCACCCGCTTTGCTGTGGGTCATCCTCTTCTTCTCTCTCCTTCCACCTTTCCCAGCATTAGAGCTTTGACCCACATCCAAAAACCTCCTATTTCTTCTGCATATAGGAATGCCCTTCTCACTTTACGAAGAGTCAAGTTTGCCCCAGAATCCTGCTCTGACAATGTTATCAGAAAGCATCCCCCCCCCTTTTTATACATTAGGAAAATTGGAGGCAAAAGGACCCCATTCTCTTCAACGCCTACCTGTTTTCAAAAAGTGAAACCCAGGAATAAAATGTCAATACAAACAGAATCTTCCTTTGGTCCTCTTCCTCGAGGCTTATTCTGTGTGGTCTGAAGGTATTTTCTACAGCCCCTTTCACAACATTTAACCTAAGACTGTTGATAATGAAATCTTAAAATCCAATTTGTAGCAGCAATAGGGGGGAAACATGCACATCGAGCATTTATCAATGCAATCATTGTACGAGGACAGCCACGTGAATCTCTGGTGGCAAAACATCAGGAGGAATCAGGTAGAAACTTTACATAAAATTTGGTAGGAAAAGGGCTATCTGACTCTTCCTGTTCTTTTGCTATTGGTGCAAACCTGTTGAATCTGCTTAGAAGTCCCATTGAAGTGAATGGGTATTTGGAGAAGAAGGCCCCAACCTTAAAAGGTTAAAGCAATGTTAAGTGACAGACTGGAAAACAGCTTAAAATGAATTTCCTGCATGTGCTGCAAACGAGTTTAATAGAATAACCCCAGGGATATCTGTGGGGATGGGGTTAACAATTCAAGATGCTTGCAGTAACTGTGTATAGTCCTGCCTCTTTTTTACACATGTTGTGACATGCCTAAAAAATGGGGGGAGGCTTTGATTGTGTGGTTGCACCCTGTGACCCCCAAATGATCCCCCAGCGTTAATATTTATTTCTTATATTTCTAGCCTGCCTGCTGTTTTCAAATCTCCAGACAAGCAGCAGATGGATTAAAGCAGTATTTCTCAACCTTGGCAACTTTAAGATGAGTGGACTTCAACTCCCAGAATTCCCC